ACCCTTCCGTTCGGTGGTCCGTTCGGTTCGTACGTCGTCTACGACGTCGTACGTCGTACGTGTACGTCGTTCGTTACGTTACCGTTCCTCTCTTCCTTCCTCTCTCTCTCTCTCTCTCTCTGTAGGTCGCTACCTACCTCTCTCTCTCTCTCTCTCTCTGATAGCAAAATAGGAAGCATAATGCAGCAATTTAACCATCAAAGTGAACAGAATCACTTACATTTTGTGAAAAAAACTGACATAATTTTTTTTACTGTTACTATTTTTACGGTGACGTAATTGCTTTAACCCTCTCCCTCCCTCTCTCTCTCTCTCTCTGATGTAGGGCCACGTTGCTGTGGCAGCCGTGCTACTGACTGCTGGAGCCCACGCCAACACCAAGTCCCTCAACGGCGAGACGGCCCTACTGAAGGTAAGATAGAGACACGAGTGCACAAGCTTGCTGAAGGTACGACTGACTCATAGGGTCTATGTCCCCCAGGGTACTGCTGCAACGTACCCTGGTAACTATTTGATGTGGTTAGGGTTAGGGTTAGGGAGTAGGCGTAGGCGACTCCCTAGACTCGTTAGTGGAGTAGGCGAGGTACGGTACGGCATATTAGATAGTACCAGGGTACGTTCCGGCAGTACCCTGGGGGACATAGACCCTCTCAGCTGCAGTACTAACAGTAGATAGATATATGTGTGATGTGGCGGTAGAGATATCACCATGAACGCACAAACTTACTGAAGGTACGACTGACTGGTGGATGCAGTAAGAGTAAATAGATATATACATGTGACCAGGGAAAAAATTAAAATTTATTTTTCAGGGGCTACTTTTCAAGCTCGCGTGCATGAAAATAGCACTCTAAAATTTGGTTTGCATTGAACTCTATGCAAATTTCCGGGGGCTCTTTTTGGCATTTGCGGGGCTCTTTTTGGCATTTCGGGGGCTAAATCGCCCGAGTCCCCGTGTATTTTTTTTACTGCATGTGACGCGGAGATTGAGATATAACAAGGAGTACAACCTTACTCTTTTTAGCCTGGCAGCAAGTATTTACCTCCAGAGAAAAAAGCAGGAAGCAAATTTACTCTCAGCCAGGCAGAATCCTTACTGTGGTTTATTAGCAATTTCTTAGCAGCAAGTATTTTTATTCCAATGTTGAGAACAGGCAGCAATGTGCCCCCTGTAGGCAGCAAAACTGCCGCTTCCTGCCCTTTATTTAATGTATATGAATTGTTACCGTGGTTAGACGTTACCGTGGTTACACATTTACTGATCGCGTCTCTCCATCTTTCACCCTCGCACACACAGGCGTGTAGGAAGGGACACCGTCACAGGGTGAAGGGGCGACCGCGGCGCATGTATATCATTCACTTACTGATGTGATCGCGTCTCTCCATCTTTCACCCTCGCACACACAGGCGTGTAGGAAGGGACACCGTCACGTGGTGAAGGGTCGACCACGGCGCGTGTATATCATTCATTTACTGATGATCACGTCTCTCCCTCTTTCACCCTCGCGCACACACAGGCGTGTAGGAAGGGACACCGTCACGTGGTGAGGCTGCTAGCGGACCACGGCGCGGACTTCGGAGAGACTTCCACGACCGGTCACTCGGCGCTGCAGCTCGCGTGCATGTACGGACACCACGGCTGCGCGTCCCTGGTGGAGGGACACAGGGAACGGTGAGGAGTAGCACGATATCACACGCTATAGCATGATGCAGCATACTGTAACATGGTGCAGCATACTGTAACGTGATATAACACGCTATAGCATGATGCAGCATACTGTAACATGGTGCAGCATACTGTAACGTGATATAACACGCTATAGCATGATGCAGCATACTGTAACATGGTGCAGCATACTGTAACGTGATATAACACGCTATAGCATGATGCAGCATACTGTAACATGGTGCAGCATACTGTAACGTGATATTATTATATAACACACTATAGCATGATGCACCATACTGTAATTAACATGGTGCAGCATACTGTAACAATAATGTGTAGCATCACCCCTTGCTGTAGCATGATGCAGCATACTGTAACAATGTGTAGCGTGATATAACATACTGTAACATGATACAGCATGCTGTAGCATGATGCAGTATACTGTAGCACGGTGCAGCATACTGTAACAATAATGTGTAGCGTGATACAGCATACTGTAACATGTACGGCCACTGCAGCTGCCGTGCAGGGTCAAGCGGAACTGTAATTGATTCAGGGTCACGATATTCACAACATTAATTATCATCGTAATCGTTAATTATCATCGTAATCGT